GAAGTGTGTGGTGTTTGACTTCATGATTGTTGAGTTGCATTTTATACCTGAGTAGTATTGGATAGAGTGTACGGTGTGACTCTATGAGTATGATTGGATGAATATATAATATTGATTATCATTATATATTTGTATGGTTGTTTATTGAACTCTAGCTTACCCTTTTGTTTCCATGTGGATGGACTGCGATGATCATACTGTGTATGGGAGCAGATCAGGGTTAGGTTGGAGCTAGCCGTTGTGATCGCTACGAGGGTTGGAGTTTTGACTTAGTACCAGAGTTACCTTCTTGGGTAACTGTTTGTTTGTGCTGACCGACACTAGAACAGTATTATTTTGGATGACTGTATATACATAGTACTATATTTCATACATAAATACTTGATACTTGATTTCGTCTTAGATGATTGGTATCGTTAGAGTGATTCCACTAAGTGTAGGACTATGGAGGGTCATTACAAATTCAAAGAAAAGACAGAAGAGATTAGTGATCTAGAGAAGAAGAGGAATCAAATAGAGAAATTTGAGAGAGAAAGGAGCTCACAGACCCAAAGTCCTTTATCTTTAAAACTTCTCTCTAATTTTTCCTAAGAATAAGCTTATGAGGCTCTATTCTCAAAAGAAACCTTATATAACCTTCTCTCTAACTTCCACTAAATCCTAAACAATTAACTTACAACGTACAATGTTACATTCGGACTTTTTCTTATATAGTGAATGTGATCAGTAGAGAAAAAACAATTGTGCTAATAATTTTTTATGAAAAATAACACAATTTAGAAGTAAAGGAATTAGATAATAGAGAAAATCATATAATAAAAAGTTTTTCTACTTCTCATTCCACAAATAATATATTTGTTTATATAGGTACAAAGTTGTAATTTAAAAGGAGACATAGTTTAATGTATGAAAGCATGATACATAAAATAATCACAACGTTTAAGAAAATATGCACAACTACTAATACATCTTCATAATACCTCCATTTTTATATATAAGACCTAATAACTTAAATTAGTGACATTAAAAAATAGTTAATTTAATTGATAACAATAAATTTATCATATTTGTATACTACATCCTTTCTTATATATAAGATCCAAATACCTAATTCACTATGATTAAAAAAAGTAATTAATCAAGTTGATAATAATAAATTTGTTATATATATATATATATATATTATTTTTTTTTAAAATTACTCTTATATCACTTTTCTCTTTTTATTAATATGCACATCTCTCTTATCCAATTAAGGTGCATATCTTATACTACTTTTTTCTCATAATTAATATTATTTATTTTCCTAACTATTTGGAATGCATATTTTTTAAATAATCTATAATTGATGTATTCTATCAAATTAAGATAACATATTTTAATTAGGAATATTTAAAAATAATTAATGATTGATCTGCTCCCATAGACAGTATGATCATCACAGTCCTTCCACATAGAAACAGAAGAGTAAGCTAGAGTTCAATAAACAACCATACAAGTATAGGGTAATAACTATACTACTTGTTCGTCCAATCATCATCACAACGCAACCACACAATTTATCATAATAGTTCAACTATCAGCTCATTGAGACAACTTTATATGCAATTTGAATGCAACAACACATGCAACATCAACTAATGCGTCGTCACGCATATACAACTAGGAGATCTCCAGCAATTGAGGTTGAGCAGTCTAGGTGGCATAACTCCTACCGAATCCAACGTTTGACCCACAGCCCGTTCTGAGTCAATAATTTGTTCTTTAAAACCACATCCGGAACGGCCCGTTCCTAAAGTGGAACGGCCCGTTCTGGGTTGAAATTTTACCCATGCATGCTCGAGTTGGAACGGCCCGTTCCCAAAGTGGGACGGCCCATTCCGGAGCTATGAAAATCCAGAATTACTAATTAATAAATAAATAAATAACATATATATATATAT